TGAAACCGTAATATCACACTGAAGTGGCTATAATCATAAAATTTGAAGAGGTTTGGTTTGGTGATTGCTTTGTAATATTTACATGTAGAATAATGATAGGAAAAACACATTGAGGTTTTTCATAATCAACTATAGGTAAATTAGATTTTGGACTTTACATTCAAACTGGGTAAGTCTAAATTTATTCATCTCTTATTATTGTTTCATCATGCTCTGGTATCTGAATATGTGGGTAACATTTGTTGTTTTCGCATGCAACAGGATGGTCCAGCTGAAGATGGACCTGAAGTGGAGTGAGCTTGACTGTAGCAACGGTGACCTGAGCACTCGGTCTTTCATCTTCGATTGTAATTCTGATGATGAAACTTTGCTAAGGTAATTTAAATGTCATTCCCTATACAGGAATGTACCTCCCATATGACCTGTATGGTCATATACTATACAGTGGCATCAGCAGTCTCAAATAGTTATGACTTCCTGCAAACATGTTTTTATAGGAATAGGTAAGGCAGAAATTGACCCTATTTTTGCTAGGATGCATACGGTTTAATGATTGTAAAGTATATCTTTCAGCTTTCAAGCTTTCAACTTTGTATTTATAGTAACTGTTTACCATATTTATTTATTTCTAACTTAAGCCCCTAAAAGTTGTAGCAGGCGAGTTTATAACCTGACTTCCTTTGTTTTGAATTGTGTGATTATATAATTTTTCCATGATCACCACATTGTAGCATGTAATGCTATTTGGATGACATTAAATACTCAGACTCAAGCTTTCTTGTTGTCCTTACAAATTTTGATACTCATTCTACTAAAGAACTTTTGATAAGAGCAATTTTTTTTTTTAAAGCTTTTGAGCTTTTGACTTTGTATTCACAGTAACTGTTTACCAAATTTATTTATTTCTAACTTAAGCCCTTAAAAGTTGCAGCAGGCAAGTTTAAAACCTGACCTCCTTTGTTTCGAATTATGTGATTACATAATTTTGCTGTGATTACCACATTGTAACATGTAATGTTATTTGGATGACATTAAATACTCAGACTCAAGCTTTCTTGTTGTCCTGAAAAATTTTGATACTCATTCTACTAAAGACCTTTTGATAAGAGCAATTTTTCACACGATAATGTGAGTTCAAAAAAGGCGATAATCTGAAAAAGGAAGGACCCTCCTTTAGTGAGGACAGAAATTATTGTGCACTCTCCTTTTTATTTCACATTTTTTACTTCAACCTTCTTTCTGCCCTGTAATGTTTTAAGGGGCACATAAATTGAGAGTACCTTTTTACACATTTTGACACATGAAGTTTAAATTATTTAGCATCCACATGACGCACAAGGCAAGAATATAATATGATAGGTTGAACAATTAAAATAAGAGAATTGTGTAGATCATATCTTGCTTTTTATCCTCTTCTGGATATTTGCACCTCATCATTATCATTGTCCCAATCACTCTCATTGCCTACTGAACCTATGAAAAGATGATATCCTCCTTATTTGTTAAATGAGGAAAGAAAAGCCTGCCCTCTTATTACTCAAAAGACCATGACTCCATGCCCCCTGTGAATAATTAATGATTTGTCCCTAAATTCCACTTGGATAATCTCTTCCACAGCCAATAAAGTGAGGGGCTGAAAAATAAACTTACCACAGCTTTGCTTTTAAACTTGGCTAAATCTATGTTATTTATACTATAATATAGGGGGAAAAATCACTAAATGCTGATTGGCCAAGACAGAAGGCATTTCTCATTCATTTGGGAAATTGCCCCAAGCAATTACCAACATTTACAAAACATTAAAAAGGCTTAACTTTGCCTTAACATTTTACAATTTCATTGATGGTGAATGTTTTTGAGTGGAGTCGCTTTTGTTTATGACTCAGAGTTATTGAAACACGTTGTATCTTAAATGAAACTTAATTAAAGATGTTGGAACAACATCTGTAAAGCTGCAGGTTAATTTTCTATGTAAACAAACCACGATGAAACAATTCCAAAAAATAAATAAATTGAATCTAACCCAGTTTGTATGTAAAATCCAAGATCTAATTCACCTGCAGTTGATGAAAAAAACCGTTACGTGTTTTTCCTACCATTATTCTACATAAACTAATACCCAAACCAAACCTCTTCAAATTTCATGATCAATAGCCACTTCAGTGTGATTTTTCTGATGTTGTTTACTTTCCGTTATATACTGTTTAATTGCATTTAAGCGCTCAGGGCATATAGCTAAGAGTGCAATGAAGCAGTAAACAAAAGCTATAAACTATGGTCTGGACCTTAACGATTGACTCTTTAAATTTCTTTTTAAATATTAAACTCAGTCTGAAAAATTTAAATTGTCCCAGTTTACCTCCTCGGTTGGAATTACAAATCAAGTTGCGGCGCATTCACTTGTCCTGCTGCTACGAATTCTTCTTGAACTCCTCATCCGCTTCTCTTGTGTGGCTAAGCATCGAATCACTATGCGCAAGAAGTCTAAACTTCGGCATTCCCGCAATCGATGGCTGACAGATGTATACAGAAAAAAAACCTCGTTAACGGTCGAGCGTGTACACCTCTTCCAAGAATAACTTTTGGCATATAACTGCTCTAAACAGGGCCTTATAATACACATGAGAACATGCAATTTCTCTGTTGATCTCACACTGTTTTTTAAATGACTTTTTTAATCGCTTTTCCAAATTCCAACCTTTCGATTCAAAATCCTTTAAAGTAGAAGAGCAACCGCGGTAGATTTGTTGTGCTTTGCTCACAAATTGGCCAATCAAATCCACTCGTTTGGTTGATTCAAATCGAGTGGATGTCATTGGTCGAAGATTCCTAATGTACAGGATGTGATTGGCTGCCACTCGGCGAGTTCCTCCGTTCTAAGGCGCCCACTCTTCTCTGTTTCGGTCTTGTTGAGGTCCCTGTGGCACAGGCCACGCGCAAAGCGATAAATCATCAAATCAGGTCAATTATGATGAAATCAGTGCACGTACTCCTTGTTAAGAGAAAATTCGTTGAAAAGTGTGTAAAGCAAACAAGTGAGAAAGTATTAGAAAATCCAGCAAACTATCCTTCTGCTTTACTCTCTTGTAATTGAGCTGGGAAGCCCTGAAGTTCGAGTTCCTGAAAATGCTACTTTCAGGAATGTTTTCTGGATAAAGTTTTTCTTTAATCAGTCAGGAAAAATTGGTTCCTTGGCATCCTGCTTGGTAACCTAACATGTACATGCTTTCAGTGTGATGTGCGTGCCTTTACGGCTGTCACATAACATTTGAAATTCCTATTTGAGAAATGCAGCAAACGACAGGAGTCGCGCTAAGAAAAGCTCTCAAATGACTCGTTTGTAACCCACGCGCGCATTCGGTTATAAGCATCGGATCGGAGCACCGCGCTATGCGACTCAGTAGTTATCCGTTCATTACACACCAAGCTAATTTCACACATTCACTGCACTTCTTTTTATTTTTCGGAAGAGCAAAATTTTTTATGTAAATTACAACTTTATGGGTTATTATGGCCAATTGATTTATTATTTGATGAGGTAAATTTTAATAACTTCACTTTTTAGGAAATGTGGAATAAATTGGCAGCACAGTCAGAATAGTTAAGACATTTAGACCACTTCTCAAACCTGCGTGTCATCCTGCCCCAAGTTTACACTCATCTTCAAGGAAGTAAATTCCAAACATTGATCAAGATCGAAAAATGCAAGGGATCCCAAGAGTTAACCAATCAGCATCAAGCATTTTCAAATGTTTTCTGTCAAAGAGTTTATTCAAGAGAATTTATGAGGCTATTCTATCTTCACTGAAGAAGTACAACTAATCTCATATGATAACATGATCAAAATGTATCTAAGTATATTAAGAATCTTTATGCTTTAGAATGTGAAAAGTGATTAGGGTTTGAACAATGAATTCAATAAGCTAGTCAACTCCAGTTCAAACCCAGTCTGAGATTCAGTTGCACTCCTTCAGCACACAAAAAAAGGAGCCAATTTTTGTATAAAACAAATTTTATTTGGAAAGATCTTTACATCATTCCATATCAGTTAACCTTAGATATAAAATTAAGAGATTTCCAATAATTAGGGAAAAATTTTTTAACACTTATTATAAAATGTGCAAAATGTCTCTCATACCCTGATCCTTATGCAGTTTTTGCTACAGTAATGATGAATTCCTCAGGCATTTGTTTGTACAATGCATCTTGTATATACATACTGGGATAAAATAGTAAATTGGAGCTGCAAATGTTTGCTTGTTTCAATAAACCAATGATTAAAATATTTTATTTTGAATTCCAGCCTTTGGGCTATCAAAGGGTGTATATTTAATTATGAATACCATAATCCTAATAGGTAAGCAAACCATTTATGAAAGCAAAGATTTTTCTTTTCCAAAACTAACACTTACTGTTTTTTTTTCTTTTTTGCTAAAGCAATACAAAAGATCTGAAATCCCTAGAATATCCCTAGAATATACGGAATGACATTTGAATTACCTAAAAGACTTTAATCATCAGAATTACAGGCCAAGGCTATTAACAAATGCTCACATTTCTTAAGTCACCTTTTCTACAGTTAAGCTCTCTCCACCTCAGGGCTATCTTCAGCAGGACCAACCTGTTACATGTGGAAACAACAAATATTTCTCACGCATCCAAATAATTTGTCAAATCAGCATTTATTACCCTTTTTATAACTCAGGCTTCCTTTGTTTTTTCTCCAGAAACAGAAAATGGAACAAAGTTATTGAAACATACTCTGTTTTAAAGGAAAATTAGTATGGGATGTTGCAACAACAGAATAAGCAGTTGATTAAAAAAAAACCTTAATGTGTTTTTCCTATAATCATTCTACATGTAAATATTACAAACCAAT